CACGAAACCAAGTGCCCCAGGACTTCAGCTGAAGCCAGCAGAAGTTACAGGCACTCAGCATCCTGCAGGATCATGCTAGTTGCTGGGAAGCAAGACAGCACAAAAACAAGATCATCTTCCAGCCTGTGGATGCTGTAGGCATGGCTCTGCTGACCTAATGACTACTCTTTGGCCCAGAAATGGGGTAATTCAGTGGGAATCACCTCCTGGAGGAAGCAGCACTTTGCTCAGGGCCCGTCACACTGGGCATCTGCAGCTAAACAGAATTCAGCTAATGGGAAAAGCAAGAAGAGTGGCGTTCCGGTGACCTCCCCACTCGTCCCGCAGCGCTTCACCCCAACAAACGGCATCACAGTCCTCGTCCCCGTCCGGTGCCAACCGTGCAGAAAGCTCTCTGACCACCCGAGCTCACCTTCAGCTTGTGCTCGTGCTCCTTGTTGACCCGGGACAGCAGCTGGGCTTTCCTTCTGTTGAGGGCATCGATGAGGGCATCACACTGGGCCACCAGGCAGGCCTCGAACTCCACGCTGTTCTCCTGCGGGTCAGAGCAGAGCATCACAGCCCGGGACACGTCTCCATTCCAGTTGGGAAACCTGGTGTTTTTTTTTTTTTTAGGATACCACATGGGCCATTTTTATACCTGCAGCTGCACTACTGCAACTCACAACTCCACAGTGTTAGCACGTGGGATGCTTACACCCTTGGCTCATAGGAAATATGGTGGTGGCAGGTGAGGAACAGGTTTGGTCCGTCCTGCCACATCATTGGACCTGCCTATGGCAGAGACGGGAAGGGCTGGAGTCTCTGCTGCTCACTCCATGACACAGGCAGCTTTGGGAGGAACAGTGTTTGGGAGGGCTTCAAGGGGGTAATATGAAAAGTCAGGTGTGGGCCCCTTTGGGAGAGCACCCATGGAGCCAAGCTGGGGAGACAGGATGGAGGATCACCTCATCCTGGTGGGACGGGGCTGTTCCTCGGCCAGGAGACACAGTACCTGGATTTGCTGCACCATGTTGCGGAGTTGGACCAGGAACTCTTTTGCTTCCTTGGCTCTGTCTGACAGCCCATTCAGTGCCTGGGAAAGCTGGCTCTGCAGGGGGAAGAAGGAGAGAGGTCACTTCCATGTCCTGGACTCATCCTTGTGCTGGAGGAGCTCATGTATGTACGGTTTGGGCTGGGGACAGACAGCAGCCCAGCACTGCCTTCTTGGGGTGTGAAGCCTTCAGCAACCCACCGAGGTGTCCATCTGCCCCTGCTGCCCTGAGCGTAAGGAGAGGAAAAGGAGGGTTAGCTGTCATCATGGATGCCCTGGGTTTGGGAAGCAGATATTCAGTGTTCACCTCCTCCACAGGCTTCCCTGGGTGATCAAAGACAAGCCACATCCATACTGGGTCTCAAAGCGAGCCAGTCGCTACCACCCCTGGGTCGGTGCTCTCCAGGGAGCCAGACACCAAAAATCCTGTAGGATCTGACCCACGTCTGCTGAGGACGATCAGCAAAAGGGCACAGGCCAGGCCACCCAAATCAGACTGAGAAACGCCCAAGCCCTCCTTAAAGCTAAGGTAGGGCAGGGCCCATCCAAATACTGACCGTCCCCTTTCTCCTCCGGTGCTAAGGATGGGAGCACCCACCCCAGCCTGCTCCAGCCCGTGCTGAGCCAAGTGGTGTAACACAGTAATAATAATGGTCATGTCTTGTGTTTTTCATTTTCACGTCACTTTCCAAACATCAGCTCCAGAATCTTCCCCTTTCACCATGACTTCAGTAAGAGTTGTTATCTCAAGTGCTGGGCAAATCCACAATTTACCTCTTGGAGAGATTCTGCCTCTTTCGTGGGTTGCGAATTGCCTGCAAACACCACGGATGATTTGAGGTGTGATCTCCCCTTGTGGCGGACACAGAAGGGAGCCTAGAAGATGGCTGATGTCCCCAAATCTCCAAAAATTTAACATGACCATCCCTCCTGTGATCAGGACGCTGGCACCGGGTTGGCACCTGCCCCTTTGTGCCATGTTCCCCAGTGTGGGGACAGGGAGGAGGTGAGATGGGAGAGGGGAGCAGGGGAGTGACGGCGCAGAAGGGACGCGAGCTCACCGGAGCGCAGCGCCTGGGCTGAAATCGAGAAAACAAGGAATCGCTATGGAAGAGACGAGGTAACAAACGAACGGCGACCATCGAATGGCCCAGAAAATGACCTCACTGCTGCTTCCCCAGGAGATGCTAATGCAACCCCAGCGATTTCCGCATTTCCTTTGCAATTTATCGTGCCCGAGTCATTAGGACGTGGAGCTAATCGGTGAATGCATCTCTGATAAAAATGGGATTGCTAAGTCAGCTCCGCAGGGTCTCCCCATCTCTCCTCCCTCCCCGAGCAAAGGCTGGAGCGGAGCCGAGGCCGGAGCCCGAGCCGCGTCCCTGCGGAAGCCCCATCGCCCTGCCCCGCGCTCCTCTCCGCAGCCCACGCACGGCTCCAGCCCTCCTGGATTTAGGAAGATGTCTTAAGCCCAGCAAAGTGGTTTGCTGAGAACCCAGCGCTGCAGGGCCCTGGTCTTCGATAACGTAGGCAATCCATGGAGAAAATCAGCAGGAGTTTGTTATGTTTACAAGCTCCTCATTAAAATTGCAGCACAGTGGGTTTCTTTCCTTTAATAAAGTCTTTGGAAGGGTTTTTTTCCTATCAGCATACACATTTCAGAAACAAGATCTTTATATCAAGGTAACTCTTCGAGGCTTTCCTAACAGGAAAGCATTTTAAATATGCTCTTAAAATTTAGAAAGAGCTCTGTGACGCCAGTGTGCACCATCCACGTGTAGCTCCTTCACCCCGGACACCCCCAGACTCACAGCACAGCGGCTTCCACGGCGCAGCGAGCTTCGAGCCTGTCCACAAAAAGAAAAAGATGGTCCACTGCCCTCAGAGCATCCCTCCCCGCCGTCTTACACAGCATTCCCCTTCTCTGCTCAGCCCTTCCCTCTGCTCCAGATGTTGTCGGTGCCAGCAGTGCCTGCCAGAGAGGGGCATGAACTAGTCAGGAGACTATTTTTTCCATAATGCTAAGGTTGGTGAGGTGCACAGTGGACACCCTGCCCTGTCCCTCGTCCCCAGCATGGAGAAAACACCAGCATGCCCAGCTCACAGTGATGTGCACCAAGAGCTGAGCAAAGACAGGCTGAAAGAGTTGGGGCTGTTCAGCCTGGAGAAGAGAAGGCTCGGGGGGGATCTTATAGCAGCTTTCCAGTACTTAAAGAGGGCTAGAGGAGAGCTGGAGAGGGACTTTTTACAAGGGCGTGTGGTGATAGGACAAGGGGTGATGGATTTAAACTGAAAGAGGGGAGATTTAGATTGGATATAAGGAAGAAATTTTTCACTCAGAGGGTGGTGAGGCACTGGCACAGGTTGCCCAGAGAAGTTGTGGCTGCCCCATCCCTGGAAGTGTTCAAGGCCAGGTTGGATGAGGCTTTGGGCAACCTGGTGTAGTGGAGGATTTCCCTGCCCATGGCAGGGGGGTTGGAACTGGATGATCTTTGAGGTCTCTTCCAACCCAAACCATTCTATGATTCTATGATAAAGCTGGTGATCCCAGTTCCTATGTATGGGTGGCCACAGGCTCCTCGCTGGCCACAGGAGCTCTAAGGTTTGGTTTCTCGTGCCGATCTCCAGGAAGGGTCCCCATCACGTCAACGCTCTCCCAGAGTGGAGACACGTTCCTGGACATGTCCTCTTTGAAACAAACATCTGCCCAGCTCTCCCGCTGCATCCCCGCTGCTTGTGGCAGAAGTCAGCCCACCGGGGACTCGGAGCGGCGCGCCAGCACGGGCAGCCCGTTAAACAAGGTTAATTAACGCCATACGACAACGGAGCGCGTACGGGAATGTGCTCATTCAGGGCAGCGCTGCAGGCGCAGTGACAACGTGATTCATAACCGTACGCCATGGAAAAACAGAGTCCTTGTGGCTTCTGTTATTATGTTAATAAGCCAGAGGCTGCGCAGAGAAATTCAATGACTGATCGGGTCCGTAAATTCTACAGGTACCGTTCATGACCCTTGGAGCAAACCCAAGCTTTAATGCAGGCTGTTGCTTTGGAGAAGGATTTAATCACCGGACATGGAAAGGCAGAGTCACCCCTTTGCCACAAGCGTGTGATCTACACAGAGGGAGCAGGAGATGGAGACTCAGGAGGACCCCTCCTTGCAGGAGCAGGGGTTGGAAGGACCTCAAGCGTTGTCTCCTGGGGGTCTTGTACCAGACCGCATCAAACGAGATGCTGTTAATATTTCTGACACATGCAGGAGGGATTTCACCTCCCCGTGAAAAGCTGGAATGTTGCACTTTGCATCTCTATGTGGAACCCATGAGGGTCCAGAGGGGGCCACAAAGATGATCCAAGGGCTGGAGCACCTCTGCTATGGAGACAGGCTGAGAGAGTTGGGGTTGTTCAGCCTGGAGAAGAGAAGGCTCCGGGGAGACCTTCCAGCAGCCTTCCAGTTCCTAAAGGGGCTACAAGAAAGCTGGAGAGGGGCTTTGGACAAGGGCATGTAGTGACAGGACAAAGGGTGATGGCTTGAAACTGAAAGAGGGGAGATTTCCATTAGATCTAAGGAAGAATTTTTTTACAATGAGGGTGGTGAGGCACTGGCACAGGTTGCCCAGAGAGGTGGTAGATGCCCCATCCCTGGAAGTGTTCAGGGCCAGGTTGGATGAGGCTTTGAGCAACCTGGTGTAGTGGAGGGTGTCCCTGCCCATGGCAGGGGGGTTGGAACTGGGTGATCTTGAAGGTCCCTTCCAACCCAAACCATTCTACGATTCTGTGAAACAAAATCTTTGGGGCTTCTCGAGGCCAGGAACTCTGCTCTGGGGACCACTGTCCCCTCACCGAGCAGGGGATGGTGGATGGAGACCCAGTGTCCTGCAGCACACAGTGGGCCAGCCAGCTCTCGTGCGCTGGACCAGAGCAGACTCTCACCCTGAGCTAGCACAGGCAGGGGAATTAATGAGTGTGAAATGAAGAAAAATCCCATTTAGCAGAGTCTGAAAACCAAGTGCATTTGTTCTTCGCAGAAAGCTGGCCTCTTTTTCAATGCTCTTGTTTCAAGGCAGTAAGAAGAGACCTCTGTAATTCTTCACATTAGCATTAATGGGAGCTAAGCATTTAAATCTCTGTCCCCGGAGGAGCACTTAGGGAGAATCCGTCCCCTCTTTGTGCTGGCTAATAGCTCTGTAACCCTCCTTCCCAGGCACAGCTGACAAAGGGATTTCTGTCACTCTTTGATTCTCCCTTGTCCCAGAGCACGGATGAGGGATGAGCGCAGTCGGGTGCAGAAGGCTGGTGGCTCAATAGGGCTCAGCAGGCTCCAAGAAACAGAGAAAAAGCATCATTTTAAACTCCGTGTCGTCTCTCAGACGGAGCTGGTCTGATTCTCCTCTCGTATAAGCCAGCTGCCAGCGATGGAGCTCCTCCAGGTTTACCTTGAGGTGAGGAGGGAGCTAAGTCTGTTATTTTAGGAGGTGCCAGGTCCCGCTCGGCATTGGATGCTGGAGTTGCAGAGCCAGCTCTGTGTGACGGCTCCATCTGGCACACCGAGAAAAGCCTGAAGTCAGCTAGTGTTGGCCACCGACGAGAGCGAAGAACAGTCGCTCTCGTTTCAAACCCCAACTCGCTTGCAGGCTCTGACACTAGACAAGATGCCTGCAGTACTGTGTCCAGCTCTGGGGCCCCACCACATGAACATGGAGCTGTTGGAGCAAGTCCAGAGGAGGCCACGAAGATGATCCGAGGGCTGGAGCATCTCTGCTATGGAGACAGGCTGAGAGAGTTGGGGCTGTTCAGCCTGAAGAAGAGAAGGCTCCAGGGAGACCTTCCAGCAGCCTTCCAGTACCTAAAGGGGCTACAAAAGATGGAGATAGACTTTTTAGCAGGGCATGTAGTGATGGTTCAGGGGCAATGGTTTTGAACTAAAAGAGGAGAGATTCAGACTAGATTTAAGGAAGAAATTTTTTATGCTGAGGGTGGTGCAACACTGGAACAGGTTGCCCAGAGAGGTGGTAAACGCCCCATCCCTGGAAACATTCAAGGTCAGGTTGGACGGGGCTCTGAGCAACCTGATCTAGTCAAAGATGTCCCTGCTCATGGCAGGTGTGTTGGACTAGATGACCTTTAAAGGTCCCTTCCAACCCAAACTATTCTATCATTCCATGAGCATTCAGGAGAGACACCAGTCTCCTCCTCTGCTCAATGGAGAGGAGGGCTCCTCTGCAAG